TTTTTTTTTTGTTCAGCACGGTGGGCCGCATTTGAATTTGTGACGGGCCGCGGGTTGAGAACCACTGCTCTACACCAACCCTACACCTAAACCTACCCCTTACAGGAAACTTTCTCAAAAAAACTCACTCTGTATGATTTATAAGCGTTTTGAAAAATGGGGACATGGGGTAATGTCCTCATAAGTCACCTTCTCCTTGTAATACCCATGTCATTATACAAATTTGTGTCCTCATAAGTCACAAAAACGCGCACACTTTTTTTTTTTTTTGTTTTGTTTTCCTGTACAAATATCTAAACCGTCTTCAATCAAAATACATTTGCTTGAGATGCAAATTCAAGGTATGAAGTTTTGTTTTGAAAAATTGAACAAAATTAAGTTTATGCTTAAAACAAAAACAAATATCTGTCTATTATGAGAACTCGTTTTCCCTTTGAATTAAATCGATTTTTCTGAGCTTGTTGAACCATTTTAATCCTTAATTCACTCAGTTTCTCAAAACAAGTCTCCTTGTGTCGTTTTGTTTCTCAAGTAAATGTTACTTCATTTGAATCATTTGCACTGGAAAAAAGATAAAAAATACTAAGGAAGGACAATTTTTTTTTTTTTCAGTGTGATCCGGCAAAGTTAAAGTTATTTCTGTATTCTAGTGGTTCGGAGCAGAGCTATTCTCATGCCTCATAGTTTTTTTTTTTTTAATGAATTGAAGTAATAGAGATTGGTTGGATATTGTATTTTTAAACTTTGGAGTGTTGCGAATGCTAATAGGACATTTACATTTAGAGGCCATATTTAACATTGTGTATATGCATACTGCAAAAATATTATGCAATTCTGAATGTACTTGTTTCTGAACAATTTACCGGTGCAAATTCGATAAACTTTGTCTTTCTGTCCTGTTTGTAGTTCTGCCATAAATTCGGTGTCCTGGTCTCCGTCAGGCGCGTATGTGGCCAGCGTTGAGAAAGGCAGCAAGGCCGTGCTTTGGTCTGACATGTGACTCTGCAGCGATTGGTTGAGCACCACCCCGCCGTGATTGGATGAAACGGACTGTAAAGACAGAAGGAAAGTCCCACTGGCCTCTTGAACTACCTTTCCCACAATGCCATCTGTTTGGCTGTCTGTGTACGTGTGCTGCCTGCCTGTATGATTTGACAGCACCGTACACGCATTATTCATATTTATATCAGCTTCCATGTACTGTCTGTCTCACACACACTCGATGTGAGATGATGGAGATTACACTAGTGACTGTCACTGTCCTACATGACTCTTACTGCTTGTTTTAACATGACTTTAAAGTGTTTACTGTCAGAGTTTGTAAGGTTACTGTAAGGTGTGTGTGCGTGTGTGCGTGTGTGTGTGTGCGTGTGTGTGTGTGCGTGTGTGTGTGTGTGTGTGTGTGTGTGTTGAATGCAGTTCTAGTTGAGCTCTATGGATGGCACTGTTCAATATTTTTTCTAGAGTTCTGGAAATCCCACATCTCCCCATGAATAAAATGCATGTATTGAACAGGAACCCAATTTTATTTTGGATGAATCTCACACATTAACGTCTTTATTCTAATGACATTAAATGACATCTTTGTGATATTTAAACACACTGAACCCTCATTTTGTAATTGCATTGCAAAAATGTCATTGTCGTGAATGAAAAATTAATTCTCGTACTCATTCTCATACAGTAACAATCATCCTATCCACAGTGTTTTATTTATTAAAATCTGCATACATTAAAGCCAGTACAAAGGCCATTTAACAAATATATTTTTTATATTATAATTTATTTGGTGTTTCTTTCCACATCGAAGTAATTTTACACCACACCTGTAATAAAAATTTTGTGGGAAAATGTGATTTAAAAAATAATGCCCATGTGTTAAATGATAAAATCTAAAATAAAAGTAAAAATAACTTCACAATATAAAAAACATTCTAAAAACAGCCTTAATTTTCTTTATGCAAAATGTAAATTATTTTGGATTGCAAAACAACAACAGAAACAATGTACATGCATAAAATATAAAAAATCTGAAACAAAAATAAAAGTTGTTACTATAAAATATTCTTAAAAACAGGCATAAATTTCTTTATGCAAAATGTAATTTCTTTTTGATTTTGGGATGAAGTATCAATTAAACATTTTGTGAGATTTACCCATAAACTCCTGACCGTGTCGCTGTTCTTGTTGATGCTCTGATTATTTGTCACATTCAAAAAAAAAATTGTGCCATGCATGAGAGATTCAAAAATATTTCCCACAATTCCTCCTATAGCTTACATGTTTTATTTTAATCAGCTGATCAATAGGTGTCAGTTCAGTAGAGAAAATTTATAAACCATAGTTTGGCTAGACATATTTAATTTCGCACAAATGAAAATGAGACTGTCACTTATTTTGGCCAATCACAGCACTCCTTGTCCTAAGCCCCTCCCCTCAGATGCCGGGTGAGTGTGTGTGTGTGATGAATGGGTGAGTGATGCATTGGGTGATGCTGAATGAATGCAGTGAGATAAGTGTGTGCTTTAGTGGAGAAAGCAATGCTCTGTTGTTCTTTATTTTAATTTCATACGCTGCACACAAGCTCATATCCTGACAGTGTTTTCTCCGAGCATGACGTCTGTTTCAAATACTGTATCGAACTCTACGCAGACACTCTCCTTGAGCTGCTTTGCAAAGGAAAACAAGTGCACTTGTGATTCACCCTGATGCCAGCAGCAGATCTGGTGATGCTCGCACTTAAAAACAAAAGACTGCAATGCACCTTCATACTCAACCAAACACTAGAACTGATGTATCCGGCTCAGTTTAAGACACTCGCGTCCCCTCGCGCTCAACACTGCAGTCTGTCGAGGTGCCTAACAAGTGCACTTGGTTTCAGATTTTGAGTGGAGTGGACTGCACACTTTACAGACTACACACTTTACTTGTGGGTGTGGCTGTTTAGCTCCGCCCTCTCTGATGCATTTGTGGGTGGGGCTGAGAGTGGGCCGGCTTAAACAGACTGTGGAAGATAATTGTTGCTAATGTATATGAGGTCTCTGTATATGTCTGCTTAATGTTTGCACACCATAAAATGTGTGGGACGTTACTTTCATTTGTTTTTGTCTTTTTTAAACGGGAAAGCTGTGCATGAATGATGGAGTTATGCTTATCTTTATAGCGTCTCTGTATGGACATCAGAGAGCTCGTCTGAGGTTTCTCGGACCTCTGTGTAAATGAGATGAGAACGATAAGAGGGTCTTTTCTCTGTGTGTGTGTGTGTGTGTAATCCCATGAGCTGACATCAGCTCTCAGACTGCTGAGATTGACAACACGGTCTTAAATCGCAGGCTACAGACACCTGCTGATGATCTTTCTTTAATCACCCACAAACATGCATTATGTAATGGATCGTTCCAATCCTGTGTTCTGATTGGTCAGTCCAGTGTTCCGGTAAGAGACCAACTAATAACCTTAGTTGATATGACAACTAGATCTACTAGTAAAAGATGCGACACATCAGTATTATTCAGGAATGAATGTTTTTATAATTTTCAGTGACATTTTCAGTCAATATGTTCAGACGAAATACTGGTAAAACTTTACAAGCTTCTTAACTATTAGTTAACTACATTAGTAAACAAATTATCAGTTAAAATACATATTTAAATTAAGAAGTATCTTAAGCTGAAATACTTAAAGCATTTATTAGTCTTAATGTTGATTTTAACATTTACTAATACATTATTACAATCAAAAGATATTATTTGAACAATATATATGATAATTTATATGAAATGTTATTGTTTAATTTATTGTTGTTATTGTACAATTACAATAAAAACAAATTATGTAATTAAAGGGGTCATATGATGTTGCTAAAAAGAACATTATTTTGTGTATTTGGTGTAATGAAATGTGTTTATGCGGTTTAAGGTTAAAAAAAACACATTATTTTCCACATAGTGTACATTATTGTTGCTCCTCTATGCCCCGCCTTTCTGAAACGCGTCGATTTTTACAAAGCTCATCGGTCTGAAAAGTGAGGTGTGCTGTGATTGGCCAGCTATCCAGTGTGTTGTGATTGGCCGAATACCTCCAGCGTGTGACGGAAATGTTACGCCCCTCACCATACTGTGATGCCGTGTCCCGGCGCGACGAGACAAAAACATGAAAACCCATTATAAACGAGGCATTTGTTGCATCCAGTGGGGACATAATTATGGATTATAATGACTTATACTGTCTTTTTACGCGTTGCGTTGCATCGCGCCGTGTAAACTTAAAACCATGTCTGCATTTGTCTTTGCAACTTTACAGATCTTCTTTATGCACCAAGAAATTGTAACACTCCAAAGTGAAAGGAAAAATTGAAATCGCATCATATGACCCCTTTAATTATATATTAAGGTTGCATAATTTATATATTAATTATATTAATAATAAATATAAATAAAAAAATTTATATATACATATACATATATACAAGAAACCTACCTGCAAAGCAACATGAAAAACTCTGCTCAAGCGCACCGAGGGCAAAAGCTGCTTTAAACACAAAGGATGCTCACACCGAATGTTGATTTAATTTAGTTAATAGAAGTTGATTGATAGAGAAAATCTATTTATGACATTATTTTTGACGGCATTCTCATTTTACAGCATTTTTACACAAGTGCCTAAAACTTTTAACAGCACGGTAGCTTTGCAGGTAGGTTTCTCGAAGCGTCTTGGAGACACAGTTCTTCTGGATTGAGTCTGTCTCAGTTTGTTCTGTTTCTTCATGTAATCTCAGACAGACTGATGATGATCAGATCAGATCTCTGTGTGCAGCACAAAAATCTGACTGGATTATTACAATTAATGGCAAAATGAATGTTTAGAAATCTAAACCGATATTTCCTACTGACACACTACAGCAAAAGATAGAAATAACTGACTTAAAACCATTTTTAGCTGCTGAAAATACTAGTGTTCTAATCATTTTGGCCACCACTGTAAATTATTTACTTTTTTGTTTTTTCCAGAAGACTTTGAAAGTAAAACATGCATCATATGGATGAAGCCTGACAACCACTCGTTCACTGTATTTCAAACAGAAGCTTTGACATTCTGCTAAACATCTCCTTTTGTGCCTCACAGAGTTATACTGGTTTGAATGACATGAGGGTGAGTAAATGATGACAGAGCTGTTATTTGTTGTGGAACTAGTCTTGTAAACTAAGAATCCACATTGAGAACCAGCTCTGTACGCTCCTAACTGACCCTTCACCTCCGAAGAAACCTCCTTCAGTCCTCAGAACCCACATAATCTGAGTAAGGTTATTATACTAAGTATGCTTTCTTGTTTGCTTATTTAACACGTGTGATATAAGAATGATGTTCCTGCATGTTTGTCAGTGTCTTTATACGCGTGTGATTGGATTAGTTGTGCATCTTCATTACCTCTGCAAGCCAGAGACGCTAATCTCACCGATGGAAAAGAGCCGAGCCGCGGGGAACGAACGGCTAGCAGTGGGCGGAGTCACAGCTTACAAATACTGGCCCTGAAAACCAGCGTCCACTCACATTGTAACTCCACACACAACACAACAACAGACGGGTGAGTTACTGCTGCTCCACCACAGGTCATATATGTAGAACAGAAAGGACAGAGAAACACACACATATATATATATATATATATATGGTGATAGATATTTTTTATTTTTTTATTATTATAGTTTATCAAGCGAGTCTGAAGTCAGTTTTAGACTTTTTATTACAATAGGACATTAGACATCTTATAACAGATATATAGTATAGTAGTAACGGTGGTCATAGATATTATTATCATTTTGATTAAAGTCCTATAATTAATATATAATAGTATTTATGGAGAAAAGTGAGTCTGCAGCCAATATTAGAATTTTCAGTCAAATTGGATATTAGACATCTTATAAATAACAAATTTATAGAATTATGAAGATGATGATTATTATAGCTTTTTTATAAAAATGAATTTGCTGTCAGTATTAGAATTTTAGAAGTATATAGTATTAGAAGTATATAGTAGTAATTATAGATATTATAATTATTATTATAGTTTGTAATAAAGCGAGTCTGCAGAATTAGAATTTTTATTAAAATCTTATAACAAATATATAGTAGTAGCCTAATTATGTAGATAGATGGGTAGCTAGATATTATTATTATTATTATTAATTTCTTTATTTTTATAATAATTTTTAAGAATATTTATTAAAAGTAGTGAACATTAGACATCTTATAAATAACAAATAATAGTAATAAGGTGATGATGATGATATAAATATAGTAATTATTAATAATAGATCATTATTATTATTAATAATAATAATAGAGTAATAATATAGTAACTGGTGATAGATAGACAGACAGATGACAGCAAACCTGTGTTTGTGTTTGTGTTGAGCTGTTACTCTAGATTAGTGTTGTGAGTCATCGGCTCAGAGCTGAAACTGCTGATGAGTGTGTGTGTGTGTGTGTGTGTGTGTGTGTGTGTGTGTGAGATTACAGATACACATTCACTACTCATAACAGCATGATTTCAATATTTAGAATATTCACATACACATAGCCTCTCTGTAGCTCAAACAGCAGGTCATGGGTTTGATTTCAATGAAAGTCATTTTGGATAAAAGCATCCGCCAAATGCAGAAATGTATGAAGTGTTTCTTGATCATCATTGTGTGTTTCTGCTTCAGCAGACAGAATGAGTCCCAAACACGTCATCTACAAGAAACTCTCCAGAGACAAATCTGTGAGTGTCTGTCCATCCATTCACTTTGGTTTTGGTTCATTTTTCGTGTCATCGTGTCCTTCAGTTCTGTTTTGTGTAATTATATGTCTGT